CATTCCCAAACAGTTTCTTTAGAAACTATCAGCCTTAGTTCTTTACTTGGACAATCTCTCGTATGTTTATAATTTTGTCTTAGTCCTTCAAAGTGCACTCATTTTGTATGATTTGTTTTTTTGCATACAGGAGACACAACTTCAACATGAAGTGTCCATGAAAAATGAACTTCTCCAGAAGTTCATCAAAGATCAGGAGATGGATGAGTTCTATCAGTTATCCCATCGCTCTGATGAAGACAGTCGCAGGTGAGTCTCTAGAGGAAGCTATTTTGATAGTGCACCAAATCTCCTGACTAGTTTACAGGAAGTTGTAAAGGGGCTTATTGGGAGAATTTCTAATCAGATCTCAGAAATTCATGGGTTAACTCTATCCCCCTTAAGATCTGATCGTTAATTCTCCCCTCTAGCAGCTAACCATTTCCCTGTAAATTAGTTCCAAGAATTTGGTGTTAGATCAAGACAACAACTTCTTCCTGATAATTTTGAGTATTCTCATTACTTGTTTGCAGGATAGTGTATGGATATTATAGGGAGAACTTACTTTTGTGCACTCCTTTTCCTCTTTTTGAGCAGCAGCGACAGCTCATGCAGAGATGTCTCCATCACTTCACTTCAACAGAAGTGTCAGGCTCTGGAGCAACAGAACACTCATCTCATCTTTGAGGTACAACATTTACTACCCAGCAGTGACCTTATTAGTTGTTTGTTGACCAACTTTGTCCATCCTGAAATTGGAAAACTATCAGTGCTTTCTTTCTTTTAGATTACAGCCAGGTTTTTAGTCTTGATTGACAAAATATTGCGATACTACTCATGTTATTAATAACTGTGATGGTATCTTACATAGTTTAGTGTGTAAGTTGATGTTTGTTTAAAAAAAAAACTGCAGCATGGGAATTGCATTGCAGGCTTTACAGTTGAAGGAAGAAACAGCGACTGTGGAAATGAAGGAACAACAACTGGTTCTAGACTGTGTGCGACAATTAGGTGTGTGGATTAGTTTTCTTAAGTATGTAGGAAATGCTTCTTCTAACAATATACTCACGACTCACTTTCAGTTGAATAAACTGAACAATTTTATTCTGACTTCTCTTAGCTTTTTAACTCTATCTCTCCATGTGCTTTTTTCTTTTATCCCATAATGTTTTTCTTTTGTTCCCAGCCTCCGTGGCTATCCTAGCTAGGGATGCCTGACTAATCTTAAGATTAAGCATAAACAAACAAGTCAATATGGCTTAAACTTAACATATTCTCATCAAGTAGTAGTATCATGCTGTATTGGGGGGCAAGAAAGGGAACTTCAAGCAGTTTATTATTAAATTGAAGTTTGTAATCATTATTTTGTTCTTTGACTCAGTGGAAGCTAAAGATCAGATTTCTGATTTGACTGACGAGATCTCGCAAAAGGCAGAGGATAACATCAGACAGCAGGTTGATTAAAATTTTGAATTGTAATGGTGTCAGATTCAGTTCATTTACCCTTAAAAATAATTATTGGCAGCATGTGAATGAGTTATCTCCTGTCTTGTTATTTTTATCCTTAGGAGGAGATCACTCATCTTATTACAACTGTCGTGGACCTACAAAAACGGCACAAACAGGTTAGTAACCAGTGCTTGTTACAACTCAGTATGAACCTGGAAGTGAGGGTGATCAACATTTAATTCAGTCTAACAAAATCACCCCCTGTATCAAACATTATAGATATGAAAATGAACAAAATGGTCACCAACTGATTGTTAAAGATTTTCACTTGTCAGCACCTCAGGAAATGCAAAGAAAACAGTATGGAGAATATGAATACTGATGTTACATGTCTGGTGCAGAGGGTTACATGAAAATCCTTTCAATTTTTTTCCATCAGTCATATCACACTTCAAAGATCAGTCTATGTTGTCCTAAGTGATTCAATTTTGATATTTTTACTTTTCAGCTTTCAATGGACAATGAAGAACTGCAAAGTTTACTGAACTCTTCCACGGCAAATCAAAGCCAGCTTCAAAACAAGGTAATGACTCAAAACTTGAGGACAATGTAATTTCCCCCCTGAAAATCACCCGTAGTCTCTACAAGGGCTCAGTGCACTACAGAGAGGGGTACTTCCAGCTATCAAGAATGAGAAATATGGTGGTCAATTGGTCTGGGTTTGACTACTGCCTGGGTCATTTTTGCTTTTTTCTTTGACATGGAACATAACTGTTCTACTTCCCCCTTGGGGAGAAAAATGGGCACCCAAAGACTGGCTGGAAAATATGTTTAGATGGAGGGGGGAAACTGGTAATTCACTTGCTTCCCATCTTGAATGATGGGGAGATGCCTTGCTTAATGGTTAGTGTGCTGGAATGCGGGTTGAGAGGTCTGGGTTTGAGATCTGGCTAGGTCATTGTGCTGTGTTCTGTAAGGAGACATTTTATTCCTACAGTGCTGCTCTCCACCAAGGAGCATAAATGGGTAATGTCAACTTCTCAGGGAAGGCTGATGAAATGCTGGGGGAGGGGGGAGTAACCTTGCAATGGACTAGCATCCCATCCACAGGGGAGGGGTAATGAGCTTTGGCTGAGTGGGCCACTTGGCTCTAGTATAGACTGAACCCTTTAACTCACAGAAGTGATTAAGATGTAACTTCTCCTTATAATATTAATAAATTATCTAATTATTAGCTAAGGAGAAAACTCAAACTTATCAGTTAGGGGGTTGGAATCTTGATCTAACGCTAAATTCTTAAAACTAATCTACAATGAAACATGTGGTAGCTAGAAGGGAGAATTGCTAAAATGATCGTGATACTCCTAGCCGCTTCCTGCTGCAGAAACTCAGTTAAGCTTCAGCAGTGCGACTCAATAGTCTCTACTGCCCAAAAGTGTACATTTTTATTCATACAAACTCTAAACCATGTTGCACTGAACTTGTTGTACATGCCCATGTTAGTCTAAGGCAAGGTTGTTTAGAAACACCACCACTGCCATTCTCTAACCTAGATTTTTTCTGTTCTGAGTAAGGTTGATGATTTGAGTGACAAATACCATGAATGTTTGGAGATGTTAATGGAAAATCAGGTGAGTAACAGGGTTGTAAAAAGGGATTTTACAACATTGAGTCTCACACCTGTGTCCTAATTGGAATCTGGGAACTTAGCAGTTATTTTTTTATTCTTTCAAATAATGCATTTTTTAATGGCTGAACTCTTGAGGTTGCAAACTGTTAAACCCAAATATTTCTCTTGGAAAAGGAAAACAAGAAGGGTTGATTCTGATACTTGTGGTTTTTTTTCTTTAATTAGTTTATTTTGGTGTGGTAAGTGGTAATTCTTTCCTAATTTTCTTTCCTCGATTCTCTCCTTCACAGAGGGAAGTAAAAAAGCTAAATACAAAGATTGAGTAAGTACCTAACCCTTTACATGCTAACAGCAGTGTGCATATTCTCCATACTGTTCTCTATACATTTTCTAAGGAGCTCATAAGGAGAATTTGTTTAACAATCAAGAGCTTCTAATTTGGTGATCATTTCCTTTATTCTCCTGACCTTAATGTGTGATTTAGGGGTGATATTGTAAGGAGAATATACATGTACATGTAGAT